CTAAAAGAACCAAGATGGTACCTTAGGTCACCAGGTCTACCGAAAACCAATACACACGGACCGATATCTACATGCAACCTCTCATCATCATCCCTCGCAAAAGAATTCTGTCATAAGTTCATTGGTTTACAGAGCGTTCACAATTTCGGAACCATCTTCTCTGAATGGAGAACTAGAACACCTCAGTACAGCCTTAACTAAAAATGGATACAACAGCAAAAACATCTCGCAAATAATAAAAAACCAGAAGAACAGAATTGTCAGTCCTAAAAACACTGACACACTAGATGAAGAGAGAGAAAAGAGAAAAACGGCTGTCCTTCCATATCTCCAGGGCATAACAGAACCTATCAGCAGGATTTTGGGTAAACACAAAATCAAAGTAATCTTCAAACCTCATAGGAAGCTCTCCCATTTACTCCCAAATCCGAAGAATCAGAAATCATGCCTAGAAACATCAGGTGTATATAAGATCCCTTGCTCTTGTGGTAAAGTTTATATAGGAGAAACCGGGAGGAAGATCAGTACGCGAATCAAGGAACACCAGCGATGTACCAAGTATGGTCACTTTACTCAATCAGCCCTAGCTGAACACTGGATGGAGACTAGACACTTCGTACAATATGACAAAGCCACCAGATTGGCTCCCTCAAAGAGTTATTTTGCCAGAAAACATCGTGAAGGTCTAGAAATGTTGAAACATCCCAACAACCTCAACCGAGACAAAGGTATGCAAGTAAACTCTATTTGGTATACTGCCCTCCCGGTTTTTTAATTGACCAGCTGATCAATTAAAATACGCTGATTGGCTGGATTCAAGGCTCGTTCCCTTCTCCCTAAACACCATCTACACAAAGGGGGGGGGGGGGGGGGCATATAAGGACTACCTTTAACCAAGGGAGCTCAGTATCAGAGTTCTCAGCCCTGATGATGCAAACTGCAACGTTTGCGAAACGTCGGCATATCGCTGATTCAAGACACGGCTCCATTCCGGAAGCTATACCTAGACAAGAATTTACATCTTTCGGAGCTCTCGTGCTTGCGCACTCCGTGGAGTAATTTATAAATGTAGCGGCCAAAGCTGCACAAGGTAATAATAAGTAGGTCAGGATATCTATAAATGACAGCACTTTGGAGTAGGCAATAAATAATTAATACTTTAAAATACTCACATAGTCGAACTGACTAATTTAAGTTTATTCGAACAGTCTTACAATTTCTCATGTCTCATCTTAGGCTTAGATCTAAAGCTCAAATTCCTCTTGCTCTTATTTTTTCGTCCTATTTTTCTGATATATTTCTACAGCCGACTAAATTCAATTCTTTATTCCTTTATTTAATTATAATAATTCTATGTGCTTACTAACAAGGAACATTCGCAAAGTGTCCGTCACCGATTTCAATATTGGTGCATTTATAGAATAGCGAAAAATAATAGACTCTTATTTTTTATATCGACAAAAGCTGAAATTTAAGGGATAAAACTACCTGTCAAAGCTTCATCTTTTTTTTTGCTAATTTGGTAACTATTAGAGATGCAAAAAACTTTTTACACAAAAATGATATAGTATTTTATGAAAAATAAAGAGAATATATAAAAATAAAAAAATATTTTAAATAATTAATGATAAAAAGTGAGTAAAGATAAAAATTGTTTATTTTCTTATCATAGAGTTCTGAGATTTTTTTCAGAATTTTTCAATCAACTTTTTAATACTGCATTTTCTTGCATTTTCTTGAAGTACTAAAAAATTTATAAAAAATTCTGAGAAAATTCTCACAGCTCTATGAGAAGAAAATAGATAATTTTTACTTCTATTTTTCGGTAAAGTTGATAGAATTCGAGTAAAAATATATTGAAACCAATAATTTTATATACTGAGAAAAAATTTATTAAAAAAAGAAAAATTAGTAAAATTTAAAGAAGTAACGTGTTTGCATAGTACTGCAGAATCATTTGTTTCAATTATACAATTATATTAATTTCCTTCCAACAAATAATTTGTCCATTAAATAAATAACTAATAAAATTCAAGAAATATTTTTCAGATTATAAGAAATGTTTATTGGGACAAAAGTAATAATTGTTGCAACCAAATAATTTCGAAATAGTAGTAGTTTATGGAAAGAAAATGCTATTTTGTCTTAAGCAAATTATATGTTGAATATAAAAAAAGTTTTGTACAATAAAAGTTATATTTACTGTAATATTAAAAAATAGTTTATTTGAAGGCAAGAAATTAATTTTCTTTGAATCAAATCACTATTAAATTGCAGGCAATATTTTCTGCAATGTAGTAAATATTAAGTTTAAATTATAGCTTTATATGTTTCGTAAAAGTAAAAATTTATTGGAATATAAATATAGTTTTGTAATAAATAAGCAAATGATTTTTGCAATAAATAAATGTGTCTTAACCTTTAAAAAATGTTTCTTGAACGTAGTAAATATTTATTATATTACTGTTTTATTTTGTACAAGAGAGTAAATATTTTCTGGAATAAAAATGCAGTTTTTTTTTTATAAAAAAGCAAATGTTTCTGTAAAATTTCATTCAAAGAAACCCGATGAAAAATTTTTCGTGCATAATTTTGCAAAAATATTTATACAAAATTATGCAAAATTATATATGAAATTTGTCCATATATAATTATACATAATTATATTTAAATAGATAAAATTATACATAATTATGCATAATTTCGATAATACAAATGCCTTTTGATGCTATAAATAGTAACTTTTTTCGTTTCTTCTATGTTAAAACTTAAAGAAGGATTTACTGAGAGTTTCTCAATACGCATAGAGAAAAAAAAATTACTTCATATATCCCTCTGTAGTTTCGAACTCGAACTACCTTATCTGTTCTGCTTGGTAATCTTAGTCCTAGTCTTGGTAGCTACTGGATCACTTTGACAGTAAGAGAGTTAATGATTCTAATATTTCATACGATATCTTGCTGACTTGTATTTATATAACTACTATTATATTTCATACAACCGCTCGTGTGAAGATAGAACGGATTAAATTGAATAGAAAAGTCATGTACCATTTTGCAAAATTCGTAATATTGCAATAGTTGATAAGGAATA